GCTAGGCTGACGCCACGGCATTCTAGCCAGGGCAACAGAGCCAGACTCTGTCTCAAAAAAAAAAAAAAAGAAGTCCTGTTATATGCTACAGCGGTCCCCAACCTTTTTTGCACCAGCGATGGTTTCATGGAGGACATTTTTCCAGGTGGGGGGGCGGAGTTTCAGGATGATTCAAGTGCATTACATTTATTACATTTGCAGCCACTCCCCAGCGCTAGCATCACCACCTCAGCTCCGCCTCAGATCATCAGGCATTAGAGTCTCATGAGGAGCGTACAACCTACATCACCTTGTGCAGTTTACAGTACGGTTCGCACTCCTCTGAGAATCTCATGCCCCCGCTACTATGACAGGAGGCGGAGCGGAGCAGGCGTAAATACAGATGATGCTTCGCTGGCTCGCCCACTGCTAACCTGCTGTGTGACCCGTTCCTCACAGGCCACTGACCTGTACCTGTGGGAGGCCTGGGGTTGGGGACAGCAGTGCTACAGCGTGAATGAACCTGAAAGACGTTTTGCTAAATCAAATAAGCCACTTACAAAAAGGCGAGTACTGTATGGTCCCACTTACATGAGGTATCGAAAGTAGCAAATTCTTAGAAACGAAGTAGAATGGTGATTCTGCTTTCCCCAGGGCCTGGGGGAGTGGAGAAAGGGGAGTTGTTCGATGGGTATGGAGTTTCAGTTTTGGAAGATGAAAAAATTCTAGAGATCTGTTGCACAACATTGTGCACATAGTTAACACTACTGTACCATACCCTTAAAAATGGTTAAGATGCTAAATTTTATGTTGTATGGTTTTTGCCACATTTTTTTTAAAAGGCGTTAAAGGTGAATCATCTTTCCAGTTCCTACACTTCTGTGGTGATGCTTTACTATGAATCTTTTTCTACACCTCTTGGTAGAATATAGTCAGTTCCAACCTAGTTCCACTGACTACTTTTACCCAGGAACAGTAAGCAAACTCTGCCCTACAGATTCTTTGTCTGCCCTCAGGTCTCTCTTACTGTAGTCTTCTTCAGAGATGTCCTGCATTGCCTCGATTTCAACCCCCAAATGAGTGTCAAGGCGGTTAATGATGTTAAAGCAAACTTAGGGGCATGAACAAGAAAGGAAAGGCCCTGAACCTAGGAGGGGAGTCGTGCTCTACTCTGTCCAGCCCCAGCGGCCTGTATGTATCCTGGACACTGACCTAGTGGAGCTCAGCCTAGGGAGGAATGACTAGATTATTTTATGACACATGAAAGCTATAAGAAATTCTAATTTAAGCATCCATAAATAAAGTTTTATTGGAACATCACCAATATTAGACAGTACTGTACTGTCTATGGCTGCTTTTGAGTAGTTGCAATAGAGACCTTTGTGGCACTCTTATCACTTAGAACTGCTACTTGGCGTACTACAAATCGCAGTGATGCAGTTATAATTTGACAGCATTTCAAGTGCCATGCATATTACCATACAACAGTACTTTTTAAAATCACCAGTGCATACCCATCATGCCAAAACAAGGAAAGTGGATTTATAATGGTGTGCCCCATAAGAGATGCACAGAGGAGAGACACATAAGAAGAAAAGATGATGTGAAAATGAAGGCAAAGATCGGAGTGATGTGGCCACAAGCCAAGGAAGCCAACAACTGTGAGAAGCTGAAAGACACAAAGAACAAATTCTCCCTTAGAGCCTCCAGAGGGCGTGTGGCCCTGCCAACACCTTGATTTTAGACTTCTGACCTTCATAACTATGTTGTTTTAAGCCACCAAATTTGTGGCAATTTGTTACAGCAGCCCTAGGAAACTAACAGTCAATTAAAAAACAAGTCAAATGACTTGGAGTGGTTTTCCTTGATCTCCATGAATTGACAGATGTTATCAATACTGCTCAGTTGTTGTTTACTTAAAGAGTCAATGCTGAGGTTGACAGGATTGAAGAGTTAGCCTCTATGAATAGACTGCATGAAACAACTAGAGGAGAGTATTTTCAAAGAAGTTGAGGAAATACTATTTCAGTACAACTTGAAGTGGAATCTGCTAAGATGTGTCACAACTGATGGTGGTTAGAATGTGTAAAGCAGAAAAAGGGTTAATTGGACAAATTTATAAAGCTTGTGAAATGTAAGGTGTTAAAAACCTATGATTATGCATTATATTATCAGCAGATACTTTCCTGAAAATATTTGAATCTATCCACTATGTTAATAAACCGGTATTATCAACAGTAAATTTCATTCACTCTCATACCTTAGCCATCTTCAGTTCTGTAAATTTTTGTCAAAAATAGAAACTGACTATTTTGGCTTGCCCTACTACACTTTGGAGAAGAATCAACTAAATTTGGGTCAGCAGAATCCAAGTAACAACTGGAAGGTGTTTGACAGATAGAGCAGTGCTAAATCTGTATTCTAGGGCTGCTGGACCAAAGTATCACAAACTCAGCACAAACTCAGCAACTTAGATGTCTCATGGTTCTGGAGACCAGAAGTCCAAGATCAGAGTGTTGGTAGGGTTGGTCCCTTCTGAGGGTGGTGAGAGAATCTGTTCCATGTGGCTCTCATGGCTTCTGGTTTGCTGGCCATCTTCTGCCTTTATGACCACTTGGCACTCCCTGTGTGTCTTTTTTTTTTTTTTTTTGAGACAGAATTTCACTCTGTTGCCCAGGCTACAGTGGTACAGTGGTGTCATCATACCTCACTGCAACCTCACACTCCTGGGAAGCCCTCCAACTAGCTAGGACTACAGGCACGTGCCACCATGCCCTTCTAACTTTTTTAGCAGGGCAGACGGGGTTAATTTAACTGAGTAAATATGTACGTTTTGATTTTCTACCTATCCCTTATTGTCCTACTCTTATAAAAGACGTTTTAACTCACAAAGAAGAGGGTGCACAATCTCAGAATACATCACAGTGACATAAATAATTTTATTAAAAACTCATTGCATTGTTCTTATTTTTCTCATTTTGTACAAATCAGTAAAATCTTTGTCACCCACTGGACCCAGCCTCAGATCAGCCTTGAGAACCTCTGCTTTAAGGAACTGCCGTACAGACGGCAGTCTTTCTGTTTTGCTCAGGCTGGTCTCAAACTCCTGGGCTCAAGGTATCCTCCTGCCTTGGCCTCCCAAAGTGCTAGGATTACAGGTATGAGCAACCACACCTGGCCAGAATCGAATTTTAATCTCCGAATTTGGAGGTGAGCCCCATGCTGTCAGTCCACTAGGGGGCAGTAACTGCATTTGGATCCACTGCCCTTTAAACAGGATGACACCTTTACTGGGAAAATTAAAACGAGAGGTAGAGGGAATAAGGAATCTGTTTTTGGTTTTCCCCTCAATACCAAAATACCAAGCTACTCTACAACAAAGCTTTATAAGTCGTGGCCATGTAGGGCAATAAGGAAAAATGAGTATTTTGTTGTTTTCTGCATCAGCCTGAATGTCCCCAGACTTGACCATTTACCTGTGAGGAGCCATCTCTTTTTCCTAATATGTTACTTGTTAAGTTACAGAATTTCAGACCTGGAAGGGACCCTTTACAGTTGAGTAGACAGTCCCAAGTGGTGAGTATCTAGCTCAAGGTCACATGGCAAGTTAATGGCAAAACCAGGAATAGAAACCATCAAAGTGCCTTTTCTCAGCTGTACAATGAGAGGTGATCTCTGGAGTTCCTTTAGGCCTAAGAGTCTGAGTCTCTTGTCTTGATTATCCAGCCAGTGATTTCTGCTCCCCC